GGTTAAGAGGAGGTTGGTCTTGCGGTGGGGGTGTGGGTCTTCATGCGGTCAGGACTCAGGGTCTAGGGGTTCGAGAAGTTGTCGACTGCAGTCTTCGAGTTTTTAGCAGGTTTCGGTGGGAGGGCGACAGAGGGGGGGAGGGGGGAGGGGGGGGGGGGAGGGTGGTGGAGGGGAACCCATCCAACAGGGTCGGCGGATCCTAAATCCTAGACCTTAAACCCTAACCCCAAACCCTAAACCCTAAACCCTACCAAACAAGGCAGAGGTCGGAGATCTCGCTTTGGGGCCACCATGGCTGTCGACTGAATGAGACCTGGCCTGGTGCCCTGGGCTTCGGTTTCTTTAAAGGCTTTGGGTTTAGGGTTTAGGGTTTAGGGTTCAGGGTTATATGGGGGGTATCCGAAAAATAGGGAACCCCACAACAAGGTCCCACTTATTTCGGAAACTTCTCAAAGGGGCTCAGAGTCTCGGCTTTGGGGTTTAGGGTTTAGGATTGAGATAGTTTAGGGTGCTTCGGTTCCTCTAATTTAAGGATGCCTTTCAGGGGTTTATGGTTTACGGTTTAATTAGTGTGCTTCGGTTCGTTTTTAAGTGTTCCTTTCATGTGTTTTTTTTTTCAGTGGGGTTCTATGAGGGTTTCATCATCTTCGATAGGGGTCCGAGCATAGTTAAGAGCACAACATGTTAGATTTCTTTTATCCCGAAAAAAGCCCAGCGCTCAGCTTGCTCTGGTTTGTTCCATGCGCTTTCAAAGTGTCTTAATATGACGGTGGGGGGCAGGGGTCTACAGGTTTCAGGGAATTGGGTGTTGACGGGTCGGAGGGTGTTTTCGAAGCTCATGATTTTTTGGCATGCTTTCGTGGTATAGCGCCTGTTGGATTCACATTTGAAGGTTGGTTCTCGGTCGAGGGTGTGGGGCTGAGGAGTTTAAGTCTCGGGATTTACCTCTTCATGAAGACGACGATGATGATGGTGGTGGCATTGACGATTGTCGGGTGCATGAGGTGCTGCTGACCGTTTTTCCTGTTGGCTCCCTAAACCCTAAACCCTAATTTCTCTCCATTGTTTGAGCATTGCTGTGTAGCTGGCGAGGTCGGACATCTGCGGTTTGCCGGCTGCAGACTGCGTCCTTCCGCCAGCACCACCTCCGGGCTACATCCCGTGGGGGACCCGGGGCTGTTGTCGTGATATTGACGAAGAGGATGATTATCTAGCGCTGAAAGGTGCGGATTAGCTCACCAGTAACTGCTGATGATATACGACGACAGAGGAAGAAGTAGTTATAGTACTGGTGGTGGTAGTGGCAGTAAGCAGAAGAAGAAGAAGAGACATAGGACGCGGAGGAGGACCCAAAAAATCACACAAACTCAACTCATGCTGTCTCTGCACAGGCCAATGAAATCAGGGACAGGTGTCACACAGACCTGCCTTCTTTCCTGCGCTTGTGTGACTGGCCTGCCGCAGGCCCGAGCAACACATTTTGACCCTCAACCAGAAACCCCTGAACTCGAAACCTCAGTCCCAAAGCGGGAACTTGGCAGCTGTGTGCTGCTTGGGGTTACCTTACTTAGCTCGCGACTCAGAACCTGTAGTCATTGAGTCCCAGTTCTTCTAATAGGGTCCGTTTGTAGGTCCCCGAAATAGTATGGCACCCTTAGAAGAAGGATACTAAATCGGACCCTAGTATCCAGAACTCCCCAATATACCTTGAAACCTTAAACCCTAAGCCGTGTTATACTTTGAAATCTTCAACTGACTTTTTGGCCGAACTCCTCCCTAAAGCCTGAACTCTAAACCCTATAAGCCCTTCGGGAGGCCATGGACACCTCCCCCACTTGTGGAGGACGACGACTGGCGAATGGAGGTCCGGGTTTAGGGTTTAGGAGTTTAGGGTTTCTTAGGGGCTGAGAAGGTAAGCTTGAACTTTCTGGGGCTTCGATAACCCTACTATATTTAGTAGGTTAACTTTTTGTGGGCTGGGCCCTGAGCTTGATTATAGCAAACGCCGAAAAGTTGGGACCGGATTAGGACATTTATTGTTGGGATTCCCTGTGTATATATATATATATACACATACATATACATATACATATACATATACATATACATATACGTATACATATACATATACATATACCTATACATATACATATACATATACATATACATATACACATACATGCATACATACATACATACATACATACATACATACATACGTACATACATACATACATACATACATACATACATATATATATATATATAATATGTGTATACATATTTACATATGTTTGATTCTTAAGGATTAAGGCTATTGGATTTCCAACTTTAGGGCTTCTACTATGGACACCTATTTCCATAAAAGGCCTTCGTATCAGGATGGTTGCAATGCAGTTCCAAGGACGTACACTGTTGCGATGAGGCTAGCAATCGATCATGGTAGTTTGTTTTTGTTGGCGCTGCTGGTGTTGCGGTTGTCGTTGTCGGTGGTGGTGATGATGGTGATGATGTTCGCAGGGCTTCCATCAAGTTGCAGCATCTTGCAACATTGCTTGTTGTTAACCTTAGCGCTGTTTTGTTCGTCTTGTGGGACCCCTAAACCCTAAACCCTGAAGGCACTAAGCGATCTTGTCGGTATTTGAGTTCTTGGAGCCACGACATTGCATGCGACATCCAACGAAGTCAATGTTTGCAGCGCTCATCATTGGTATCTGTATGGGTTGAGGGTTTAGGGCTCAGAGTTTAGGGTTTAGGGTTCAGGGTTTAGGGTTTGGAGTATCTGTGTGGGTAGCTACCGTTTCTTGCATACACCGTCGTATTTTTGTTTTTGTTGTTGTTGTTGTTGCAGGAGGACGACAATAAGCAATCGCAGCAGACGGTAGCTTTGTGTATTCACTGGCCCTCCTGGCAGCAACAGTAAGTGACACATTGTGACCCTTGATCCTTAACCGGAATGAGCAGCAACAGTGGTGGTAGCAGCAAAACCCTAAACCCTGCAAATCCTACGCCCTGCCTGTGGCTGCTCCCTTGAGGCCTGTCCGGATCCAGAAACTCCAGCATCTCATGCGCTTTGCATATCGAGTGCACACGCCTTCCCAGCACTTTTCACCGAGAAGTGAGATCATTCACGTGCTTCGGTAAGACCGGATCTCGACTATAGCCCCCAAAATAACTTCGGACGCCGAAAAAACACAGAACGGAAGCCACCAGCAGCCCAGAAACTGCAGTCGCCACACAACCTAAGCCAAAAACCCCAAACCCTAAACCCTAGACTCTAAGCCCTAAACCCTAAAGCCTGAACCCTAAAACCCCAAACCCTAAACCCTAGACCCTAAACCCTAAACTGAAAGCCTTGAACCCGAAGCCCTGATCCCGAAAAGCCAAGCCCCCGAAGCGCAAAACCCTAAAAGGTGAACACTGGGCCACCGGGTGTTCGGATAACGACCACCAGAGTGGACTGCACTGATGGGTTTGAGGGCTCGGGCTTGAGAAGGGCTTCGATAAGGGTTCAGGGTTTAATGAGGGTTTCGATAAGGATTCCCTTTGGGGTTCTGTTATTATGCGTAAGGGTTCTACAGGAGTTTAGGGTTGAAGGGCTTTCGGGAGCCCTGGCCGATACCTGGGGATCCAAAACCCTAGCGTTTTATGGGTTCCACCCTCTAATTAAGGGGTCATAACCTACCTCTTTGTAGGGTTTGGGGTCACAGGTACTCTTTCACAGTGGGTATTCCTGCTTTTCAATGGCTGACTAAGGGATATTCCCTCAACTTTACACTACATGACTTATCAAGGAACTTGGGTTGAGCGGCTGGTGGCTGAAGCCACAGAAGCCTCAGCAGCCGAGCTGGTAGATATGTGGCATGCACTACCTGGACCCGAAAATGTAGTACCATTTAGTGGATGAGTCATTCTTGGTTAGGATACGATAACAAGAAACTAAGGTACACCCTGAACCCCGAGTCTTACAGAACTGGGAAGTCCCGACCCCGACACCGTAGCGGGCACCTCGTCGCTCCCAAAGCGTCCTAGGTACCTAGAAGGGTTCTTTTAAGGATTCCTTTCAAAGGGATAGGGTTTAAGGTTCCTAGGTTCCTTTAGGGATTCCCTTTAAAGGGATCGGGTTCATGGGTACATAGGACCCCGAGGGGCTTGGCCGTTCTTAAAGACATGATCAGTCGTAGTGTATATACTTTAGCTTACCAAAAACCTACATTTTTTTGGTTTGATCCCGTTGAATTCTATATCAGGGCTTGCAGTAAGAGTAGGTTTTCGTAGTTTAAGGTGTTCTGCAAGAGTAAAATTATGATGCTTGAAGCACCTCAGTCGGGTTCCACGGTGAGAGTAGAGCTGCAACGGCAAATGTTTCAAAGGGTCGTGAGGGCACTGAATCTGAGGCCCACCATGTTTATTGAACGTTGTTTAGCCGAAAGAAGAAACGTCCATAGTACATTTCACATAATTTCACCAATTTTTCGGTATCGGGGTTTAGGGATTATGAAAAACTTGTCGTATGTTTTGTAACTACTCAACCGTTCGCCATAGACCTTAGCCCGAAAAATTGAATCCTACAGTGCAGAATCCCTCTCGGCAGGATCGCCCGTTCCGGTGCGTCACCGGGAACTGCCAAGTGCCTGCTTCAGGGCCGCAAAAGACAAGCTTCGCAAAGGTAAGGCTAGGGGTTCGGGGTCATTTTAGTAGATGGGTGGGTTTGGGGTACAATGACAACTACGAAACCCAAAGCCCTTCATTGCCCAGCCGGCTTATGCTATACTGACTTTTCTTGAACCAGAAATAATCTCAGTTTAGTCGGGTGTTCATAGCTTATAACTTATCACATAAAACAGCACAAGGAACACCAGTGTACAAAAACCCATAAGACCCCAGAGGATTGGAATCCTTATGCTACAGACGCTTCGGAGAGAACGCGATATGGGTAGTTCTCTAAATTAGGGTCCCTTTTGGGGGTCCTTTTTATATGGGTGCCGTACTATGTTGGGGACCTAGAGAGGGACCCTTAGAGAACTACCCATATTGAAGGAGTCCGTAGAGAACTGCAGGGGACTAGGCTCCCTCTTTCACAGCCCATCAGGGTTTTGCAGCCTCCGAATACGACCCCAGGAAGTCCGTTCTGAGGTTTCAGCACCCTAAACTTGAACCGCAAAAAGCCTGAACTCTAAGCTCCAAAGCCTAAACCCTAAACCCCAAAACCTAAGCCGTAAACCCCAAAACCGTAAACCCCAAAACCTCAACCCCAAAGCCTAAACCCAAAACCTGAACCCTCGTCCGTTTGCAGGGTTAAGCTTTGGAATTCGAAGGCTATGTCTTTAGGGTATGGGGTGTAGGGTCAAGGTTGTAGAAACCCTAAACACTAAATTCTAAACCCTCAACCCTTAAGCCTAGACCTCAGTCAGACCTACGGTTGATGATATAAATCCTGCCTTACCCATAAGAGGGGAATATACCATAACTCCCATAGTTTAGGGTCCTTGAGGTAATGCAGGATTTATATCATCAGCAGCAGTATTGGGCACGTCTTGCTTTTGGTTGGCAGGTCTTGGCTGAGGTGCTGGCTGCGAGCCAGCATCATCTAAGACCAACTCGTCGACCCTAGACCTACGAAGTCGCCGAATCCATGTTTGTTTCGGGTATAAGGGTTTAGGGTTTAGGGGGTTTAGGGTTTAGGGTTTAGGGTTTGACTCAGAAGACTCAGAAGCCTAATACAGAAGCAAAGGGTTTCAGTAGCCCCAAAAGTAACCCGAGAAGCAGCAGACTGCAGAAGAGAGAAGGTTATAACGACCACGGTGGATCCGGCCAGCATCAACCAGGCTTCTTCCACAGATCACACTGCGAGATTCTGTGGCTTCTTTGCAGGGCCGAAATAATGTAGGGGCTTAAATAATTATCTGTACTATTATGGGGGTTCCTTATTACAATTAGAGAATAATAGGCCCCAAAGCCCTATTCCAAATATTAAGGCCCCTACAGTACCTGCCAATACTGCTCCTGGGGATTCCCGAACATAGCTCGACTATACTTAAACACTACTGTTCCTTGGCGTTCCCTGATATAGTTCGGCTATAATCCCCCCCCACCCTCCTTCCAACCCCCCTTCAGAAGAAGCAGCTTGAACTGGTAAGTCGACTGTTTGGGGCAGTTTTAGGATTCGGTCTACGGCTCAAGGATTCGGTGTGGGGGTAGGGTTTAGGGTGTAGGATTCAGGGTTCAGGGTTTAGGGTTTAGGGTTCAGGGTTTAGGTTTTAGGGTTCAGGGTGTAGGGTTTGGGTTCCGGTTTCGGGAGGAGCTTTCCCAAGCAGGCCCGAACTCAACGCACGAGGGCCAAGTGCCAACAGAGGGGTGTTGAATCTACCTACAGTCTCCATTCTAGTTCCGCTTTCCGCCTTTTAGAGGGTCCTGACCTCAGCAAATCAGCACCCGAACACCCCAAACCCTCAAGCCCTACAGTCCTAATGACCTGCACACTTAAACGAAGCCCTAAACCCTCAACCTCACCGGAACCCAAGAATGCGCCGTCGCCAGGATCCCACGGCAATCAACCCGGATTCCGTCAGGGTCGGGGATGGCCAAGCACGCCTCGGCGAAGAGGCCTTGGGTGAAGGGTTTAGGGTTCCGGGTTTATAGGGTAGAGGTTTAGGGTTTAGGGTTTAGGGTTTAGGGTTTAGGGGTTACAGTCGGGTTTAGGCTTTAGGTTGGGTTTCAATGTTTCTGACTTCAGGTCTAAAACTCATGGTTCTGGCTGACTTGCTGGGACTGTCCGAGCCGTCCTTGAGGCGGTTTCGCGCTTCTGAGGGGGTGTGGTGGCGGGTTGGTAAAGTTGATGTTGTTGTCTTTTGGGGGGTCGTCTGGCTTGTAATGATTGTAATGTTCTAAAATACACATATGCAGGGTTGGCTCATAGGCATTTTAGACAGGCCTAGAATAGTGTCTATTGGAAGCAGAGCCATACATAGGTGGTGGCAGTAGGATTGCTACCCATCACACCAAAATATTGTTGGGGCTTGAACGTCTTTTGAACAGAGTTGCGTCGTGTGTCAGGCTACGGGGACCTGACGAGTACCATTACAACTGATCCCGGCCCCTGTATTATTCACATCGTTCTTTACCTTCGCCATTACCATTATAACAAACACGCAGCAACAACAACGATAGCAATGCCAATAGCACAGGCCTTCGATGTGGTTGCTGGAGGTGATCTCTGATAGGGCGCAGGGCTGTGGGATGTAGGCCTAATCACCTTGGTTCAGGCTACCGTCAAAGTTCCCTGAAGGTACTCACCCTAAACCCTAAACCCTAAACCCTAAACCCTAAACCCTAAACCCTAAACCCTAAACCCTAAACCCTAAACCCTAAAGGCCAGGGATCCCCCAGCCCTCACTCCCTCCGGTTGAAGTTCGCTCGTCCGATTGGTTCATCCAGGCATCAGCCATGTAGATTCCCAGGATGTCGTCCCAGCTCCTGCGCAGCTTCGGGACAGCCCTTCATCCCAAGTTCTCCCTGAAGGACCTTCCCTAAACTTCCTTAACCCCAAACCCTAAACCCCGAACCCCAAAACCAAAAACCCTAAATCCCAGTTCCTAAACCGCAATATAACCCAAAACCCAAAACCCCCAAAATCTCAGTTCCTCAACCCCAAACCCTAAACCTCCTCTTTTTTTGTCAAAGGGGCTCTCTCTCTCTCTCTATATATATATAGAAACATTGCATTTTTTAACAAAACATTCAGGAGCTTCTATCCTTGGAGCGGCCAAACAAGGCGAAGCTGCGAGCTGCGCTCCCAAATTCGGCCTTGGAGGGGTTCGAGTCCCTGAAGCTGCTGCAAGATCCTCAAAGAGCAAATGGCCCCTTAAAAGCGGGGCTTTGGGTTTAAGGGTCTGGGGCTTAGGGTTTGGGGCTTAGGGCTCAGGGCTTCGGGTTTAGGTCTTAGGGTTCAGGGCTTGGGGCTTCGGGTTTAGGTCGTTTAGGGTTTAGGGCTTGGGGCTTCGGGTTTAGGTCTTAGGGTTTAAGGTTTAGGGCTTGGGGCTTGGGTCTTAGGGTTTAGGCTGCAGGGCTTGGGGCTTCGGGCTTAGGTCTTAGGGTTTAAAGTTTAGGGCTTAGGGTTCATAGGGTTTAGGGTTTTAAGGGTTTATCGTCGAGGACCAAAAGGTCCTCAGGTACCACAGGGTACTATAATAAGGTCCCCTTTTAGGGTACTGTAGGCTTCTATCAACAGAGGGGCCCTGTGTTTTTGGCACTAAGAGTCTCTATCTATGGTGATGGAACCTTAAAGCCTGTCAGGGTAGATTTTTTCTTGAGTCCTGAACCCTGTAGTACCCGTATAGAAACTCCTAAGGGACCCCTTGTAGGCCCCATAGTAATTCCTTCTTGTGGCTTATATTTAGGATCCTATTAGGTAACCCCAAAAAGAAACTACTATGGGGCCTATGGGTATAGAAACTCTTAAGGGACCCTGTTTAGGATCTCAAGCGGGCGAAGAGGGCGGATCTGGTCTGCTTGGTCTTCGAGATCCAATCTGAGAAGGTGCGGCCGAGCACAAAGCATCTCAACCTCGCCGTGGCTGGGCTCTCGTTCAGCATAATATAGCGGCCTTAATAATTAGAATATTTCCGCCACTAAAACTGGTGTTCCCGCCAAGTGCACTCCCGCCACATGCAGTTCCGCACATAATGGAGCATGCGACTCGTGTTCCTGCTTGCATGTGTTGCTCCCGCCACGGTGTGCTGAACCTTTTTCACTCGCGGGTGATCTTGGGAGCTTCAGCAGTGCTTCTGGAATCGCCCTAAACCCTTAAACCCTATAAGCCCTGTAATGCCTGTAAGCCCCATAATCCCTTTTGGCCCTTTAATCCCTTTACGCCCTAAACCCCTTAAACCCTATAAGCCCAATACTCACTACAAGCCCTAAAACCCTTAAGCCTTATAATCCCTAGAAGCCCTATTCACCCTAGGAACCTATAAGCCCTGAAACCTATAATCCCCAGAAGCCCTAGAAACTAGAAGCCCTATAATCCCCAGAAGCCTGGAAGCCTTAGAAACGCTAGAAAGCCTGAACCCGTCCTTGGCCACGCAGGGCTTGAGCTGCCAAAGGGAGCTTTCGTACGTTTGCATACTGGCTGGTGAACGGTTTAACCCTAAACTCTAACCCTAAACCCCTTATGGCTTCCAGGAGCTTTAGCTTCAATTCCAAAGAGTAGGAGGGGAGGAGTAGGGTAGAGGGTAGGGGGAGGGTGGGGGGTGCAGGGTAGGGTAGGGGCTGGGCAGTATGGGGTAGGGGGGGGTAAGGAGTAGGGCGTGGACTACGTACGTCACTTCCAGGGACCTTATTATTGGGTCCTTTTAGGGGTCAGAGCCGAGAGCCCTAACTATAAGGTCCCTGGAAGCATAGGGTCAGATAAAGCTGCCCTAGAACAGGAATATTGCCGCATAGGTAAACTCACATATGATACCGTAATAGGAGATATTGATATGCTCGAAAATACCGGAATAAGAGATATGCTCTCTCTCGTTTTATTTGACGCCCCAGTACAGACCCCTCTAGGCCTCTAGGTGTACATGCAAGGATATCATGGTTCGCAGCCCCAAAAAGACATGATTTTTTTTTTGCAGCAGTCTAACATTTCGCATGGTCTAAACCGAACCCTGAAAGGGCAGGTCACGTTGGGTCAAGAAAGAACCCAATACATGCCCGGTAATAAAGCTTCGTCGCGTCCGCTTAGAAACACTA